TCTCTCCCTCCCTCCCTCTCTCCCTCACTTTCTCTCCCTCTCTCAAAAACACTTTTTCTCTCTCCCTCTCCCTTCCTCCCTGTCTTTCTCTCTCACACACACTTTCTCCATCTCTCCCTCCCTCGTGCACACACTTTTTCTCTTTTCCCTCTCACACTTTCTCTCTCCCTCCCTCCCTCATGCACACTTTCTCTTTCTCTCAACTTTTCCCTCCCTCACACACTCTCTCCCTCCTTTCCTCCCTCCCTCACAATTTCTTTCTCCTTCCCTCTCAAAAACACTTTCCCTCTCCCTCCCTCACATTTTCCTCCCTCCCTCACACTTCCTCCCTCCCTCTCCCTCCCTCTCCACACACATTCTCTCTCTCTCTCTCCCTCCCCCCTCGCTCTCTCTCTCTCTCTTACACAGACACACACACTTTGTCCCTCTCTCTCGCCCTCCCTCCCTCTTTCTCCAGCAGCAGGATCAGGCAGGCAATCCTTTTCTGTGGGAAGGGGAGGGTCTCACGCGTACACACACACACAAACACTTTCCCTTTTAATTCCCTGGATTGTGTCTTGACGCCTATCAATTGCCAGGACAAACAGAAGTATTTTTCTTTCTTTTTTTTTTTTTACAAAGGTGCAAGCTGGCTGGGCTTGCATACAAGAATAAAAATCTATGCCAGCCTTGCTAGTGAGGAAATGCAACTTAGAACAGTTTCCACTGCCTTTTTTTTTTTTTTTGCCATTCCTTAGAACTCTATTTAGTCTATGTCTCTTGCTCGCTGCTGCTTTTCATACAGCCAACCTCATGTTTAATTATATATGTTCCCCCCTCTCTCTATATCAGTGGTTCTCAACCTGTGGGTCGGGACCCCATTTGGGGTCGCTCGACCATTTCACGGGGGTCGCCAAGCAAGGCTGTCCGCCATTTTTTCCCCCCTTTTCCGGCGGGTGCCTTACCTCCCTTGGGCTGGGCCAGCTGGTGGTCGGCCTGCTCCGTCTCTGCCGCTTGCCAGCTACGCCTCGGCCGGCGCAGGGGGCGGAAGCACGCATGCGCGGCGCTCCCGGGCAGGGAAAGTCCTCGACTTACGACCGGTTGGGTAGTCCTCGACTTACGACCGGTTTAGTCCTCAACTTACGACCGGTTTAGTCCTTGACTTACGACCAGTTTAGTCCTCGACTTACGACCGGTTGGGGGTCGCGGCATTACAAAGGTTGAGAACCACTGCTCTATATATATATATGGGTACTGCTAATGACATTAAAACTAAAAACGTGACTCCTGGGTGTAATCATCTTCAAATCAATAAACTGTGAGCACCAGGAATATAATAAACTAAAAAAGTTTAATAACACAAATACACACCAAGCTTTCGTCGGAATCTTTCCGACATCGTCAGGGTTAAATGCCAGTCCATGGGAGAGTCCCTTTCCGCAGCCCAATCAGCTGGGACCGGTGACAAGATCCAGGAGCCATGCGCAGACGACGGGTTGCTTATAGGCAGCACGGGGACTGCAGGCACCGGAGATGGGGGAAGGGAAGGAATGGAGGAGGCACGGGACAACGTTGTGAGGGGCGAGAGTCTGTGGAGGTGGAAGAGAGGAGGATGGAAGTTAAGGGAGGGGTTAAAAGAGTGGCGAAGTGGCCCCATGGAACGAGGGATATCAACGGGACTGTAAGTGAGGAGGGTGGAAAAGAGGAGGGGGACAGGGAGCAGGGTGCAGCAGGACCATCAGCGCAGGTAAGGAAGGAGGGTGGGGAGGGGGAGGAATTGAGGGATACGGAGAGTTTGAATGACCAAAAAAGGGAGGGGGGAGAGAGCTCACCGGACCCAAGGCCACATGTAGGGTTAGTTAGCAGCATCATACACGTAGGCAGGGGAGGCAGGAAAGCTTGGTGTGTATTTGTGTTATTAAACTTTTTTAGTTTATTATACTCCTGGTGCTCACAATTTATTGATTTGAAGATATATATGGGCATACCAGCTGAGACTGTCAACCCAGGGCAACCTTTACTAGTGTCTTGATGATATAATTTTCAATGATTGTGTATGTACACACACACACACAATTCTCTCTCTCTCATATATGTATGTATGTGTATGTGTGTCATCATTTTAACTATTGTCTATCCACTGCTGAATGAAGGCCTCTTCTGTCAATGGTCTGTGGCTGGAGGGTGGGCATGAAGGGGTGCGAGGAGCATGTGGTGGAGGCGAAAAGACCTACGCACTCACAGGCTGGGTATTTTCGGAGCCTGACTGAGGACAGAGAGGGAGGGGCTGGGCCAGAGGCCCCGGAGGGGGAGGGAGCTCTGTGGAGGAGGGGAAACAGAAGCCGAGTCTGTTTAGTGACCTCAAAGCCTTTACCTGTCCCCCCCCCAGCCCTCTCTGCCTTTCCTAACCTATAGATCCCTCCAAGTGTTTGGGGGTGTGTGTCTCCCCCACTTCCTCTGTCACGTTTAAGCAAACATAATTTCCCAGTTTCTTGTCTTCACATCCCGTCAACATTTCCTTCCTCAACTCTCCTCATAACTCAGCCGGAATCTTACATTCCTTCTGGAATTCCTTCTTGTTCCTCTCAGAAAAGCTCTGCACAAAACATTTCGTCCCATTTCTCTTATAAAAAAAGTATACCTGCAAAATATTTCAGTCACGACCTGGGGGGGTCGAGGGGGGGCAGAAGGGAGAGGCAATGGGGGATCTGCTCTGTTCAAAGAGGCTGGGAGCTGCCATGATGCTTTGGGGCTTCGATGCCCCAGAGTCAGAGGGGGGACCTTAAACTATGATTCCCTTTCAGCCCAGGAAGTCAGCCAAGCCCTCAGCATTATTCACCATTGTGGTGAACAATGGGGAAAAAGGGCACTCCGAAGAAATTAACAACATGCTGCAGGATACTGAAAATGCTTTTATTAAGGCTGCACAATGGACTGATTTTTTTTTTTTAAAAAAAATCAGGATTTCAAGATAAATCTTTTTCTATGCTACAACGATTTCTCAATTCAAGGAACAGATTTTCCACACACCAAGATCTGATTTGGTTTGTCACCCGGAAAGAGTGTCCAGTAGTCCGAGCACCTGGAGGATTTCTCTTCAGGGCATTTTTACCTGCAGACCCAGGTAGACATTCCAGAAAAATATTTCCCACACACCAAATGCACAATTTCTTTTTCTTGTGGATTCTTTGGGGCCTCCAGAGGTCTCAATGAAGTCAGTATTTTACAGTATTCCAAGCATTTCAACAATGACCCCCTTTTGTGAGTCCTCCAAGGTTTATCCAGGTTTACTTGATAGTTCTGGACTATGACGTCACTGAACAACTGTTGAAAATTACAAGCCTTAATGGCCCGTAAAAAAATTCTGGCTATTTTAAAATGGTGTCCCTGTTCCCAAAGGTTTTGTGGCTAAATTATGGGCGCTTGGGAACCGTCTGGCTTTAATAACCAGTTGCATTATCTTGCAACCATGGGATCATAATTTGCAGTGTCTTTGGCTAATTTCTGCCATTTTTTTTGCAGTTTTTAGTGAAAAAACAACCACCACATTTGGAAGAATGGCTTTATACTTATTGCAGTGATTTGCTTAACGAGCACAAAAATATCATAAAATCAGGTCTCGTCATATGGGTGCCTTCAGTTATGAGTGTAACAAACGCTTTCCCAATTGAGTTTATAAATCGAGGACTCTATAATACATTAACTAGACTACCCCAATATTGGTAAACATTTTGTCTTGTGTAATGACTCTGGTTAAGTTACTACTGCTGCTGCTTTGTGAGCGAAACTCACTCCAACGTTTATGCACTTTTGCTTAATTATGATACTTGAGGTTACTTGACTAGGAAAAGCGTTTTCCCCACACTAAACAACTATAAGAGGTGTGGTCATCCAGATGCAACTTTTTTCATATGTGGTGGACTTGTAAGGTCATTAAGGCCTTTTGGGTACAATTATGGTGGAACTTACAGCAGATTTTTAAAAAAAGGATTATTTTTCTTCCACAGTTGTTTCTTTTAGGTATTGTGCAAGATTTAGTTGCAAAAGAAATAAATTTGATGCTTTATTGTTTATCTGCTGCCCGATTGCTAATAGCCCAAAATTGGAAGAGCCCAATTCTGCCTACGATGGGAGACTGGAGATTGAAAGTTTCGTATCTTGCTGAAATGGCAAAGATTTCGGCTTACTTGAAGAACCATTCGAATGAACAATTTTTATCAATATGGAGAAGATGGATTATTTATATTCAAAAGAAACATAGAGTGGTAGAATATAATTTAGGTTTTTAGATTTTTTTAAGTTTGTTTATTTCTATCCTTTCTTGTAGTTTAAGATATTATGTGGAGTTAGAGATATTAGTATTTGTTTACTTTTATATGAATATTATCCTGGGATTAGGTTTGGGAAGTTCTGGGGGGTGGTGGGGGGTTTTTGATTGTTTATTGTGATTACTTATGATTGTTTTTTTTATGATGGAAAAATAAATAAAATTTTCAAACTGCAAAAAGATTTCCCTTCTGTGACTGTGAGGTTCCTGGTGAATGGTAAGATGTGGCTTTTGAAAAAGATGTTTCCCTCATTCTTTATGACTCAAGGGTTTTATCTCTGCTATGGACTTCCTGATGTATTTTTAGCTTTGATTTACAATGAAAAGGATTTTCACACTCTGCACACTTTTAAGGCCACTCCCCTGTGTGATTTCTGGTGTGCCTGTGAAGAGCTGAAGACTGGGCAAAACATTTCCCACACTCCAGACATTTATATGTTTTTTCTCCAGTGTGGCTTCGCTGATGCTTCAAAAGAGTATTTTTTTGAGAAAAACATTTATCACACTCGGAGCATTTGTGGGGCTTCTCTCCTGTATGAATTCGGCTGTGATTTCTGAGGAGAGATAACCGAGCAAATGCTTTCCCACAGTCTAAACATTTGTGGTTTTTTTCCCCGGTGTGAATTTTCATGTGATTTGTAAGGGTTGATACGGTACGATAAAATTTTCCACATTCTATGCATTTATATGGCTTCTCCCTTGTGTGGGTTTTATGATGTATCCAAAGGGCTCCCTTTTGAACAAAACATTTTCCACATTCTGTGCATCTGTACGGCTTCACTCCTGTATGGACCCTGTGATGGCTTCCAAGGCTTTGTTTTTGGGAAAAGCATTTCCCACACTCTCCACATTTGAATGGTTTCTCCCCCGTGTGGATTCTCTCATGATCCTGACATTCTCCTGGCGAAATAAAACCTTTCCCACACTCCCCACATTGGTAGGGTTTCTCTCCTTTGTGCCTCTTCTGGTGTCTCCGAAGTCCAGAAGAATACATAAATTGTTTCTCACATTCTGGGCATTCATAGGGTCTCTCTCCAGTGTGAAGTCTCTGATGTTGTACCAGGTTTGATTTCCAGGTAAAACATTTCCCACATTCGAGGCATTTTTCGTTTTTCTGCCCCCTGTGTGTTTTCTCATGACTCCAAAGAGCCGAGTTGTGGGCAAAACATTTTCCACACTCAAAACATTTGTAAGATTTTATTCCTGCATGAATCTTCTCATGGCGCCAAAGATTTGCGTCCCGAGAAAAGCTTTTCCCGCATTCCCAACACTTGTAAGGTTTCTCCCCGGTGTGAATTCTCTCGTGGTCTCTGAGAGTGGTTTTCCGACAGAAAAATTTCCCACATTCCAGACACTGATAAGGTTTCTCTCCAGTGTGGATTTTCTGATGTCTAAGAAGGTGTGATTTTCGACCAAAGCGTAAGTCACATTCCAGACATTTATGCGGTTTTAATTCGGGGAGGCTTCTGAGATCTTTGGCGTCTTTTCCAGAGAAGGATTTCCCCCCCTCCAAACCTTGACTGGATCCGCTTCCCACATGGACCTTCCTGTGGGTCAAAAAAAGGGACCGTTGAGCAAAGGATTTCCCACACTCTGAGCATTCATGGGTTTTTTTGTGGTTTTCCGGAGTGCTGATTGTGTCTGACGGGGGATCCAAGAGTTTCCCAGGCTCCATGCTTTCTGGCAACCGCTGCCTTGCTCTGATTTTCTACCATCTGTTGATAGTTGGCTTGCAGGCGAATCTTGGTCACAAATATTTTATCCACTGTTAGAAAGTAAAAGAAATGGAGAATAATATTTCCTTTTGAGAAAGGTAGAGAATCACACACAATCTGAGTTTTGGGATGGACCAACATGGTCTTCCAGTGCAAACCCCCCCCATCCAGAACCTCAGAACCTCCCTCGACAAAATCTCCAGTGATGGAGCCCCCACCACTCTAGGAGGCAAACTCTTCTGTTCTGGTGGTCATTAAGTGGTTCTGCGGGTTGTTAAGTGGAGGGAGACCCAACCAAGAACTGCAGGTGTGCCTGAAAGGGGGGGGGTTGCGGGGACTCTGGAGGTCCAGCACAGCCCAAACATGAATTAGGAGAGCTGCGCTACAGAGCAAATCTGCAGCCACCCCCAAAGCCTCAGCCACCCCATCTGGGCCCTGCAATGGGGCAGAAATGGCAGAGTGGTGCCTTAAGGCAGTGGTTCTCAACCTTTTTAATGCCACGACCCCCAACCGGTCGTAAGTCGAGGACTAAACCGGTTGTAAGTTGAGGACTACCCAACCGGTCGTAAGTCGAGGACTTTCCCTGCCCGGGAGCGCCGCACATACGTGGTTCCGCCCCCTGCGCCGGCCGAGGTGTAGCTGGCAAGCGGCAGAGACGGAGCAGGCCAACCACCAGCTGGCCCAGCTCAAGGGAGGTAAGGCACCCGCCGGAAAAGGGGAAAAAAATGGCGGACTGCCTTGCTTGGCGACCCCCGTGAAATGGTTGATCGACCCCAAATGGGGTCGCGACCCATAGGTTGAGAACCGCTGCCTTAAGGGGAGGCCTGGGGCCTTCAGCCATTTCAGCCAGCTGGCACTGAGAAAATGCAGTCTTAATCCCCACACCTGTGGCCTTTGCAGCCTTGCGCCATTCTCCAAGCCACGTGTTCCATACATGTTGCTAAGCAACGTGTCCCAAAGCATCTCTAAGCTTCTCCAGGACCCCCTCAAGTCAAACGTGGACTGTGCTGGGGCTCCGATTGACTCCCCTGTTGCCCCCCCCACCCCGAGACAAGCCCATGCTTCTTACCTGGGACTTCATCCACTTAATGACTAGTGAAACCACTTAACCACCACAAACAGTGAGTGCAGAATTTCAGTCCTTGAGCAAAGCGGTCGTGGGATACCTCACATAACAACCACTTTGCTAAACAAGCGAGTTTCCAATCCCAACTGTGGTCGTAGGTCGAGGACTACCTACAGGCGAGGCAAAAGATTCAGGCACCGCATAAGCGAAAGAGGAGCAAAGAGAGTTGAGGTCAGCGCAAGCAACTCATTTCTCCTCCTCTTTTCTTGAATTTTCTGATTTTTCCACTTATGAGCTCCACCCCATCGTGGCTAATTGATCCTGGCTTCCTCGAGGCAAATTTCCTCTCCCTACATCAGTGGTGGCGAACCTATGGCACTAGTGCCAGAGGCGGCACTCGGAGCCCTCTCTGTGGGCACGCACGCTGTCGCCCCAGCCCCGCCTCCCCCCGTAGCCACCTCCTCACCAGCAGCCCCCCTGGAGAAGAGTCACTCCGGGTGCGGCCCGTGTGGAGCTGCACAGCCAAGCTGCGGGGTGTGGGTGGAGGGTGTGGCCACCATAGTGCTGCAGGGCCGCCTGGGCGATCTGCGTGCCTTGGATGGCCCCGAGGGTGGGAGGGGTGAGGGCGGAGCAGGGCAGGAGCAGGCGGGCAGAGCGGGGGCGGGCCGGTTTTGGGGCACTTGGTCTCTAAAAGGTTCGCCATCACTGCCCTACATGGATCCGTTTCACAGCTCAGTCTCCTCCCTACAATGCAAATTTCCTTTGTGCTATTTACTTACTTACTTACTTACTTACTTACTTACTTACTTACTTACTTACTTACTTACTTACTTACTTACTTACATTTTTTGCCACTCATCTCGCCGAAGGCCTACTCTGGGGGACTTACGACAGTAAACATGGAGAAATGACTATAAGTGTAAATATAATAGTATCAAAGTAATGAAAGGATAAACGACGGGATAAACAATGAAGGTGTAGTAATGTCAAATTAAAAATAGACTGGGACGGGAAGCAGGAGGCACGTGGGGTTTGCGCTCAGTCCAACAGCCACCTCCGGTGTGGTACTCCATTACACTCGCTTCGGGGTTAACACAATACCCTCCATGCCAACCCCTCCCCCTCCTCTCTACCTGCCCCACAGGTGTCCTTCAGTAGGATGTCTGAATTGAGTCATTCCTCTGCTTTTCCTACCTGGATGAGAGAGAGAGGCCAGCTGATTATCTGGGTCCCCCCAGACTGTTTGTCTGATGCCCTGAGCAAAACCAGGTCAAACTTTAACTTCTCTGTGTGTGTTTTGTGAATTAGGACAGACATGTCAAACACAAGGCCCGGGGGCCGGAGGCGGCCCACGAAGTGGTTTCATGTGGTCTGCAAAGCCATCCTGGAAACAGTGAGGGAACGGCCCCCGCTGCCTTGGTCCTGGCCCAGGCCGGCCGGGAGCCAATGTACAATTTTGTGGTGGCCATCTATGCTGAAACGCATTCAGTCTTAGCTCCACAAGACCGTCTGGAAACAGCGAGGGACCAGACCCTGTTGTGTCGGCCCCGCCCCCTGGGTACATGTTGGGGAGGTGAGGAATGAAGAAATGGACCATGCCTTGGCGCTTGCCCCGGTCCCACCCCCTTCTGCCAGAGACCCTCAGATCTGTCCCACTCCTGCCCAGGCCCCCACAGTCACCCTTGACGCGAATGATGTAGAGCTGGCCATGCCCACCCAGTAGGCCACACCCACTCCATCCACACCCACCCAGTAGGCCGCACCCACCCTGGCCATACACACGCCCAGGGCAACCCCAATGCTGATGCGGCCCTCAATGAAATTGAGTTTGACACCCCTATTTTAGGAGGAGGACTTTGGTCAGGCCACCCTAAAGGAGACTCAACCCCGGAAGATCAGACAGGAAAGGAGGAGGGGAAAAGATCTCTGATTTGGTATTTCAACCTCCAGGGGCAATAGCAGAGGCACCTCCCAAAAAGATCTCTGCTGATCAGAGCAAATAAAGCTACAGAGCTTCCCAAAGTGAAACGAAAATCCTGTTTGTCATCCCAATGAGTCCCAAAGGCAACAACAACAACAACAAAAAAAACCCCACCAATCGCAGCTGTGACATGGCTTCATCCTGGCGTAAATCTCATCCTACAGTTTCTGAAAGGGGGCTTACTGAACACCTTCAGATAGAGAAGCCCCCAAAAGTATCCAGAGAGTGTCCACTAAAGTTTAATCTTTAGGACAAGGCATGAGCGCTTCAGCCTACTAAACTGTAACCCCAACTGCATTATGGCGCAAGGATTAAACAGGAAAAGTTTGCCCATAGGAGGGCAATTCGGAAATAAATCAATGTTTGGTTATCAATGACAATCACAGATACAGAACTGTTATTATACACATTAGAAAACTACAACATTACATTACTTTTCGACATAATCGCCTGTGATGACCCAGGGCACAGCACAGAGGCAATGCAGTCAGCTGGTAATTCAAATCGCCCTTTAATTGCTCCAAATTTTCCCCAAATGCTCCCACATTTCTGGCCAGCCTCCAAACATAGGAAGACACACACACACATACCTTCAGNAAACCGCCGAGACCGCCGAAAGTCTAAAGGCCCAAAGGCAAACGGCTACCCGGCCGCGCTCTCGTCCTCTCACACTCCCGGGGAACTCACCGGGGAGGTCGACCTGGGGACTGGGCTCTTCCGGCTCCTCAAGGGGTCTCCGGCTCTTCGGGGGGTCCTCCGACTCCTCGCGGGTCTCCTCGCGGGTCTCCAAGACCCCCCCCGCATCATTTCGGCTCCCCTACACTGCCCTACATGGATCCGTTTCACAGCTCAGTCTCCTCCCTACAATGTAAATTTCCTTTGTGCTATTTACTTACTTACTTACTTACTTACATTTTTTGCCACTCATCTCGCCGAGGGCCTATTCTAGGGGACTTATGACAGTAAACATGGAGAAATGAATATAAGTGTAAACATAATAGTATCAAAGTAATGAAAGGATAAACGACGGGATAAACAATGAAGGTGCAGTAATGTCAAATTAAAAATAGACTGGGACGGGAAGCAGGAGGCACGTGGGGTTTGCGCTCAGTCCAACAGCCACCTCCAGTGTGGTACTCCATTACACTCTCTTCAGGGTTCACAGAATACCCTCCATGCCAACCCCTCCCCCTCCTCTCTACCTGCCCCACAGGTGTCCTTCAGTCGGATATCTGAATTGAGTCATCCCTCTGCTTTTCCTACCCGGATGAGAGAGAGAGAGAGGCCAGCCGATTATCTGGGTCCCCCCCAGACTGTTTGTCCGATGCCCTAAGCAAAACCAGGTCAAACCTAACTTCTCTCTGTGTGTTTTGTGTATTAGGACAGACATGTCAAACACAAGGCCCGGGGGCCAGATGCGGCCCGCGAAGTGGTTTCATGTGGTCTGCGAAGCCATCCTGGAAACAGTGAGGGAACGGCCCCCGCTGCCTTGGTCCTGGCCCAGGCCGACCGGGAGCCAATGTACAATTTTGTGGTGGCCATCTATGCTGAAACACATTCAGTCTTAGCTCCACAAGGCCATCTGGAAACAGCGAGGAACCAGCCCCTGCCATGTCGGCCCCGCTCCCTGGGTGCATGCTGGGGAGGTGTCACCCTTTGTGAGGAATGAAGAAATGGACCATGCCTTGGCGCTTGCCCCGGTCCCACCCCATTCTGCCAGAGACCCTCAGATCTGTCCCACTCCTGCCCAGGCCCCCACAGGCACCCTTGACGCGAACGATGTAGAGCTGGCCATGCCCACCCAATAGGCCACACCCACTCCGTATCCACGCCCACCCAGTAGGCCGCACCCACCCTGGCCACAGCCCCCCAGGGCAAACCCAATGCTGATGCGGCTCTCAATGAAATTGAGT